TGTGGCGTTTGCTTCACCTCGAGGTGAGAGGTAGTGGGCCCAGCCGACCTGGGGCTGAGACCACATGCCCAAAGAACCCTGACCTCCTTTATACTTTGTCTCCCACAGTTTGTCACAGTGACAGGAAGCTGAGTAACACGGTGGAATTATGCCACGCGCCCAGGAAGGAAGGCACAGAAAGTTGTCATAGAGATTGTCCTGGAAACCCGATGATGTCAGATCTCCACCCATTTGGGGTGCTCTGATGGCTCCTTGAATCTGACCCTTTGAGATACGTGAACCCTGTGCCTGCAAAAGCAACCATACCTAGACAAGCATGCAACAAATCCAGTTACTGAGAGCACCAGGCAGACGCTGTAACAAGCTGCTCTCAGTCTTCTCTCAGACATCAAGCCTTGATTTCAGTTTCCTGAGACTTGAGTAAGCAGTTTCTGGGAGGGCCGTGAACAAAAGATGTAGTCCTTGCAGTAGCTCCCTCTTTGCACATATTCTGACCGGTCAGGGTTCAGCCAGTTGTTTACTGTCCAACTTAGAGCTACGTGCATGAGTCAAGGACAGAGCCTGGGCCACTGAGTCAGCCCCAACAGTCAGTGCGCTAGGCCAGCCAGCCTCCATAGCAGCTCAAGGACAAAGCCTGGGACTTGTCCAGGCCTGCCCCAAAATGGTAACCCCCAACTAACCCTAGCCAATAAAAAGTTACTAACATGATTGCCACTCACATAAACCAATCCTGAGTCTGTTCCTATGTAGTCTGTGGACCCCAAACCCCCTTTGTTTTAAAAACCCTGCCCCATTGCTACTCGGGTTCTCTCCTGCTCTGCTGCTGCGTCTGATGGATGGAGAGTCCCGAGTCAACTTGCAATAAAAAGACTCTTAGCTTTTGCATCGGATTTGGTCTCTTGGTGGTCTTTGGGGGACTCTGGGTTTAACATTACCATTATCAGTTTTATCAATGAATTCATGAAGACATTTCTAATATGCATAAACAGACTTCCAAGAATATACCCCTTGGCAAAGTTGCTGGTATTTATCAAAGCGTGGGAAGGAACTGGCAGACTTATAGAAGCGGCTGTCCTGGGGGCTGAGTCCATCTCTCCACCAGGCGGCCACTCCCACCATTTCTGGATGATGAAAGGTGACTAACTCTTGGGACTCCTCTAGACTTGGTCCTGGGTGTTCATTCTAACTGTAATACAAGTGGATGCCCCAGAGGATACTCACCATGTCATTTCTAGTCTTGCCACGGTAGTGCAAGTTTCTGTTAGACTGTCGCTGCAGTTCTAAAAATAAAATATCCAACATTCAGTAGGCTCTTGTTGTTTAACCTAAGCACCAAAACTTCTGTGGACCTCTCGTTTATTCTTTGTCGCGTCGTAAAACTAAGGCTATATGTTGGAGCTAATGATTAATTAAAATTGCTGTTTAAAAGTTTGGTACAAATCACAATGGTCAGATTTTATTCAGCTTTCACTTGAGAACAAAGCATTGGAAAATTGCATTAGAATCTTTATTGTTAAGTCTTTGATCAAACAAAATAAGACAAAGAAAGTAATAAATCTGTGTCAGGAAGGTCTTTTTCAGACTGTAAGGTTGTTCCACCTCAACCATCTGGACAGAGTTCCTGTCGAACAGTCCAGAATCCTCCTACCAGCCAAACCTCAGACTCAAGACTCTCAGGATTAGCCCTTTCAGACAGGAAAGGAAGATGGAAGCAGTCTCAAGGCTTTTCAAAAGTTGTCAGGACAAAAGGGAGATGGGGTATTTTCATCTTTGATGGGACCTAAGACCCATCAGTCCCCAAGAGAAGAAGTTCTGCTCAGTGTGAAATCACACAGGACACAGCTAGGGCAGTGTGAATTGAAAATGCTGCCTTGAGTGGACTAGGGCCGACTGCACAATCCCTGCTGATGTGAAAGTTTGGAGAACAGAATTGTGGGACATCACAGAGCCTCAGTTGATGAGACTCTACCATCCATGATCGTAAGAAAACAACTCAGGCCAGGTGTGGTGGGACACACCTTTAATCTCAGAACTGGGGAGGCAGAAGCCGACAGATCTCTGTGAGTTCCGACCCAACCTGGTCTACAGAGCAAGTGCGAGACCAGTCAGGGCTTCGCAGTGAGACCCTGTCTCAAAACATTTAAAACAGAAACAAAACCTAGGTCTTCTCACTGGCCTGGTTTCTGTCTGTCACACTTTCTTCTCTCATTCCTCCCATTTTCTTCTCAGGAAAGTGAATTTTTCTGGCCAGGAGCCCTTCTGCTGTGCGCCCGAGACTCTGGCAACCCAATGAGTCTGTTTCTAGTGATTACTAGCTCTGTTTTCAAATGACAAGCTTTCGGTTTTTATACAAACTTCTGCAGAAGAACAATTCCAATAAAAAGTTTTACTATGTGTTTTGCTTCTACCAAGTCTTTAACTCTTTCACTGGACAGAGTGAAAAACTAGACTTAGCTGTTATAAAGTAGGCAGCCAGGATTTTTTTTACATTCTTTCCTAAACCCAACCTATTTGCCTCATTTATGAAAGCCATTTTCTCTTCTATATGTAAATTTTAATCATAGAAACATAAAATGTTCTAGTTAGAGAGTTTTACTCATAATATATATTTATCATATTGTCATTGATCTCTCTCTTATAATTTTTCCATTTGTTGCAGGAAAATATGGATGCACGTGATTTTAAGATATGTAAAACCAGTTTTAAGGTTAAATTATTAGACCCCTCCTTTTATAGTTTCTAAATCCATGAAATACTATTGAAAGCTTTTAAATCACACAAAATTAAGAAAACCGTTATTTTTCTGGTAATAACTGTTACCCGAAATATCAAGCATGCCATTGATTTGTAAATGTTATCATTAATAACAGCATTAGCATAAGGCAAATTCCAAATAATTATAATTCAGTCCTCAGTTTTCACTACATCTATTTTGTGTGTGTGCATGCACACAGATGCACACTTGTGCCACAGTGCACATGTAGTAGACACAGGACAACTTGTAGGAGAATTTTATTCCTTCCACCATGTGGGATCCAGGGATTGAACTCAAGTCATCAGTTTTAGCAGAAAACGCCTTTACCCAGCAAGCCACCTCATCAGCCCCTAGGCCTCAAGTTTTGATCACTGTGAAGTTCCACAAAGCTGTCTCCCCTCATCGAAGCACCTGTGCATGACAAGCACACGTGCCCATCTATCACTGAGCCTGTTGTGTACGCAGCACTGCAGTCCACTGCAGTGCATGCATTTTTAATTGCAAGCATGTCTCTCAAAAGAGCTGCTCCTTCCACTTACTTCCATATACAACCTTGAAATGTGATCCTAATTAGTCTCTGCAGATCTTCTGACCAAAGGGGGGGGGCGAGGTCCTGTCTCCACCCGCCTTGTATTCCTGTCTCCACCTCCCTAGTGCTGGGATCAAAAGTGTGAGCCTCCCAAGTGCTGGGATCAAAGGCATGAGCCTCCCAGGGGCTAGAATTAAAGGTATGAGCCACCACCACCTGACTCTGTTTCTCTTTTAGACTGAATCAATCATGTGTAGCCCAGGGTGGCCTTCAACTCCTGATCTTCCTGCTTCCTCCTCCCAAGTGCTGGGATTAAAGGTGTGTGCCACCACCGCCTGGCCTCTCTATCTTAACTAGTGGCTAGCTCCGCCCTCTGATCTCCAGGCAAGCTTTATGTGTCAGAACACAAACAAAATATCGTACAACACAACCTGGTTTCAGGCAGATCATGGACTTCAGGTTGGTGATGAAAAGATCACATAGCCTATGGATTTATGGAAGTCCATAGATCCGTCTCCTTTCTTGGACACCTAGGGCTGTATTGCCAATCCTTGCAGAAATCTGAGTTCAAAAACTGAAGGATTCTATTGCAAATTTACTGAAGCCAACGTGGTCTTTCCACAGACACTAAAAACTTGGGGTATACATAGTGGGGTTGGTGGTAGAAGAGTCTACCTCAGCTTGCCTACAATTTCCTGGGTCTTAGGCCAGATTTGGCAAATATTCATATGTGTATCAGGAAACAGACACAACTTTGGTCAATCTCATTTGTTCAACTGGGGAAAGTTCCATGCTCTGCCCTCAGAATAGCAACAACGGACTCTGAATGGCTGGCCTGCTCGGAGTCAGTGGTCATCACTTTGGATGTTGGAAACAGGTACCATTGTGATCGGCAAAGGTGCTCTGTGAACTGTGGACTCTACAGGAGATCTCACCCAAGCGTTTCCTCCAAGGAGAGCATGTGGTTGACCTTGTCAGATTCCCAGAAGTTGTTCCCATGCAAAGCCAGTGGGACTTGACACTCATTCATTAATGAAAAGTTATTTTTACATCTCTCATACTAATTAACAAATGCTCAAGTGCAGCTTTCACAGAAAATTGTGAAGTGCTCAGTAATCGTGCCTGGAGTGCACATTTCTGATCACGATACTTCAAACACTAAGTGCTGCCAGGATACAAATGAAAAATTAATTTCCTTCATAAATCATACTGTTTATCCTGAAGCATTTTAAGGTAAAATTTTTATAAAGATGATATAATAATCTAAGGCCCAGCTCAGACAAAGCTGTAGGTTTTTATTCGTTTTCATGACTCCTAATCGAATAACCATGACGGCGCTATTGGAAATCTCGGGGCTGAGTGATGTGACACAAAATGGCAAGGTCTCAGCTCTGCTTCCTCTGAGCTGTGACTTGAACTTGGTGTCCAGCACGAAATGGCAAGAACAGCGTCCCTGCTGATGTCCCCTCTCCAGGCGCTGCCCACCACAACGTCATCCACTACGCTCTTGGAGGATTTAGGATTCATCCTTGCTAGGTCTGCCTCAACCAACGCCTTCACTAGGTCACTACGCCGACTTACAGTGGCCTCCAAACAAACATCTGCAAGGTCTGTAATCAGCCTGTTAGTACAGCTGTATGTGGGAAAAGGGTTTTTGCAAATATAGTTGAGGCTCTTCAGCTGAGATTTTCCTTGACTGACTGAACAGTGCATAAGTCTAGTGACAAATATCTTTATTAATAATGTTTTTTTAAGCAGAAAACAATTTGATACCATCAATAGAGGGAAAAAAGAGGAGGAGCCATGTCAAGGCAGGAACAAGATGGGCATGACCTAGCTACAAAATTAGTTACCAGAAACTGGAAGAGGCAGGGGGTGTCTCACCTGGGTCCCCTGGAGAGAGCATGGCCTGGCAAACACCTTGATTTCAGATTTTGGCCTCCAGGATCATGAAAGAACAAATTTCTATTATTTTAAGCCACCAAGGTTGTAGTCACTAGTTCTCTTAGCCCTTCGAAAGTAAAGCCGTATTCCAAGTCCTTCTCACAGCCATGTCAATATCTCTGACCCACTCCCTATTTCTCCTGAGCTACTGACCAAGTCCTCCTCACAACCGCTTTAATATTCTTGGCCCATCCTCTATCTCTCCTGAGCTATTGGCATAATTCAGACCACCAGCAATTCCAGAAATATTTTGGTTCAGACAAAAAGAAGCCGGTGGGCCGAGGTGAAGGATGCCTTCCAAGCTGAGTTCTGCTGATGCTGAGTCATTTCCCATTGCAGGCTTTGTATCCACATTCTGCTCAAGCTGAGCTCTTCTGCACAGGAACATGCAGCCTTCCAGCAGCCTCACCAGCTAAGGTCCTCAGCACACCTGGCCATCGGCGCTGGAGCAGATGCACAGTGTGATGTTTCCTGGGTTTGAGAAACTGCAGATACTGGTCTTCCAGTCAGGCACTGGAGAAAGGAAGGAAATTGCATCTGTTTTGCTATGTATTTCTGGATACAACAGCTGTGGGCTGGAAAACAGAGGTCCTGGTGAATCTAAACATATTTCCCTTCTCTCTTTTCTAAAACTAACCAGATTAACCCAGCGCTGACTAATGGGGAGGGGACCTCAGCAAAGCTGCAGGTCGGGGGCAGTGGGGACTTCAGCGATAAGCCCAGCATTTGTAAGACAGCTTCTGAATGAGTTCAGATTTGAGCACTGAGAAAATAAAAATAAAATAAAAGACAATAAAATCCTTCATCTCTCCACGAAGGTGGGTGCCTACGGGCAGATGCAGCAGCAGTTATACCACTCTGCTAAACCTGGGGATCCAGTTTCCTGGGTCTAATGAGACTATTGATTCCCAGGAACCAGTTAGCTTCAGGCAAACCACCTCTTCCTCCTGGAGCTGGAAATTTATTCTACATTGAATACGGCAGTGTTTTCCTACTGGCTTAATGCAGTTTCAATAGTCCTTACCTATAATGGAGGAATTTAGCAAATGCCATATCAATGAGTTGCTAATTACTGATTATAGGCAACAACGCCAAGAGCGAACTGGCTGAACCTCCCCAGGCATTGGAACGATCTTCTGAATTTGTCCTGACAGCTGTCCTCTCATTTTTCCATTCCTCTCTTCTTTCTCTGTACGATACTCCTCCACTCCAACACTGTAAGAACAAGACTCAAAACACTGCAGCAGATCAAATTTGGAGGGAGGCGTGAGAAAATCTGGGGAGCCTTCCACGGAGGCCTCTTCTGCTAGTGTCTGTCACAGCTCCTCATTACCGGAGAACAGAAATCGCAGTGAGTGCTTATGTCACAACACGGGCGGGAAACAGCAAACTAGATTGTAAAGAGACAGTTTTTATTGTGCTTGGCTTTGGTTGGGCACAGAAATAAGCCATCAAGGAGCATGTAGATGTGCATAAACACAGACATACAGTTTGGCAAAGTAAAAGCGCATTGTCATAGAAGTGTGACCATAAAGCAACGAGATTAATTTCCTTGTCACATTTGTGGAAACTGTTTGTCATCCTGTGCATGCACATCTCCTATAACTGTGTCTCGAATACAACAACATTTAAACAACTAACCTCACAGATGTGGCAGAGTCCTTTCTCAAGTCAACACCCAGCCAGGTTAGCTTTGTGACTCTCTAAAATGCTCCAGCAACCTGAGCTCCATGATTAGAATAGCCAAGTCTGGCAGACATGAGGTACAAGGGCAGAAAACACAGAACCACCCCAGCTGAGGGGACAGCTACCTACCTATCCCTGTGGGCTGCGTGGCGCCTGGTCACTTGCACTGAAGAAGTCAGTTTCCATGCCCGGCACTCCTGACACCTGCAAGTCTGGCATTCCATCACCATTTATGGACAAGGCATTTTATTGATACCATCTGTAAACCCTGCAGTCACTCACGAGTGTGCATGTTATCATCATCACTACCATTTTACAGATGAGGGAATAGACCCAGAAAGGTTAAATGACTTGCCCAAGGGTCCACCAGCACTACATGAGCACAAACTAGAACTTCTGTCTCTTTGCCAAGCCTGTGACTCCAAGACAAAGGCCTTCACGCCACTGTTAATGCTGAAATGTAAACAGGAATGGCAGAGGTTGCTTAAGACCCTGTAGCTCACAATGAGGATCTAATAAGAAGAGCAAGGAACTCCATGTCCAGTGACCAGGAGCCCAGGAGGCCCACGTGTGTGGTGCAGCCTCCCACAGCTCTGTACAGGGATGCCAGAAGTCTGACTTCGTCTCATCCACTGAGACAAAAGCTTGCTTTCATTCCAGGTCTTCAAAGGTAGCACATTTAAATTGCCTCATTGAAATATGGGAAGAATTGTTAAAAAAAAAAAAAAAAAACCTACGTTATCTAAAGGAATTAAAATTTTGTTTGTTTGTTTTTGATTGGGTGCTCTGGAGCCATGATCCCCTCCTCTTTCAAAGGCTATACTGGCTCTTGGTCTCTCATAAGTTCTGCCCTGGGGAAGCAGCATTCTCAGCCAGCAAATGTCAGCTGGGGTTCATCCTGGTTGAGTTCAGATGTTCAGTTTTGGAGAATGGCAACACCAAGATCACTGAAATTATAACTGAAGAGGAAGCAGGCCAAGTTAGGCGTCGTGGCTTCCTCCCCACTGAAATTATAACTGAAGAGGAAATACACCAAGTTAGGCGTCGTGGCTTCCTCCCCAAATACCAAAGAAAAGAGATCTGGAAAAGATTACCAGAATAGCATCTGTGGTCACTGTCAGCTCTGCTCAGTGCCCTTGTCCCTGCGAGTCCTGCTCTGTGTGTCCTGCTTGGCTCTAGGTATATCTAAAAATCTGAGGTCACAGAGACAAAGTCATCATTCATAAAATTAAGACAGAGAAACCACTCATGACAGCACTCTTAGTCAAAGTTGTATTAAAATACAATGAAGTCAAGAAACCGGGAGGGTGGGCGTGGTTATTTGTTAAAGTGAAATAATTCTAATCTCAAGGGACTGTTTTACTTGCTGCCTCTCATACTGACACTTTGGTACTAATAACAAAAAAGAAATAGGGGGGGAGGGGCTTGCTATTAGTGTAGCTCAGAATCACAGCCTGGAACATTGTCTTTTCCTTAGAAGGTAAAGTGATTCATGTGGTTTCAGGCTTCTTGTGTCTGATGTTACAGTATTAGCACAGTGTAGGGAAAGGAAATCTGAATTTAAAATTCAAAAATAGTATTTACATCCTAACCGTCTATGACCTTGAACAAATATTCAATTAGTTGGGGTAGGGAGCACGATGTCACACACCTGTAATCTCAGCATTGACAAGGCAGGAGCTGTCTGGGCTACATAACAAAAAATATCTAAAAAAGAAATTACTTGGTTCAGTCTCTTCATGTAGGACATGATCTACCTGGGTTAGAGTTCTCAGAGGCTGGTATGACAAGTATGCATCCTCAGGGCCAGTCTTACTACTGGAAGTCAATAAATTACCACCAAGCAAAGTCTTGAAGAGTGGTCTGGCTTCAGATAACTAATCTGCACAATGATCTTCTTGGATAAGAGATCTGAAAGCTCTCCCAGCTTTTAAAACTATGGATTTATAGAATAAAAGGAACGATTGCTCAATAAATAAGTATAATAAAGTGTGGTATACCCATAGAAATGGATTAGCCCTCCGCAATAAAAAAGAATGAGTATTAGATATACACAACAGTATGGATGAACCTCCAAATATTATATTTGTGCTGAGTGAAATAAACCAGACCCTCCCCCCAACACACACACACACACACACACACACACACACACACTTTCATTTACACAAAACCCCAGAGTGAACAAACTAAGAGAGCTTTACTCGGGGTGTCATGAACCTTTCAGGGTGAGATAGGTTCACTATCTTGATGGAGCTGATAATCTCCCTGAGTAAATGCATACGTCAAACCTTATGACATTCTACACTTAAGTATGTGACATTTACTATGTAATTCGATCTCAACAAACTTATTGAAGGGAAAGGAAAGAAACAGACTAGGAGCTTGGGGGAGTTTGGAGATACGGAAAGATAGCTGCTGCGAAATCTAACTGGAGAGGATGACTAAGAGCACAGGAAGGTGAGGGCTCTGGTCAGAGTGGAGGATGGTCCATAAATACAGAAGGGGCTGCCGGCATCCTAATTGTTCCCCTTCAAAGGCCAGAGAATCAATCTGGAAGCTGTAAAAGCAAAGCCCAGACTGTGATCAGCACAATCTGGACAACAGAAGGCTTTGCTTGCTGCCCAGCCATCTACACTAGCTGTCAATATCACCATAGATGCAGCTAGGCCTGTTTAGGGCCGAACTGGGCCTTCTCCATGCCAATCAATCACATCCAGCCCCAGCTTGTAGATAGTAATACTGAGGGAAGACTGTTTGTCAATATTACCTTGGCTAGCCAAAGGAATGTGTCAACATGAAGTCAAGTTGAGGATTCATTCCAGATACTTCTGGAAGGTATTCCCAGCTCCCCACTGCCACATAGACCAAGACCAGGAGTTTAATCTGTCTTTTTCTTATCTTCTATCCTCTCAATTGACTTTTCCAACATTTCTCTTGGGGAGTTCTGGGGGATTGCCACACTGTGAATTCTGCTTCTTCAGGCTGAAGAACTTTACTGGAAGCCTTGGTAGAAAGTTAAATTGGATAAAGATCAAAGTTGATAAAATTCCTAGTAAGCCCACAGTTGGTCCACTTTAAAGGCAACAGTCCCTTTCACTTCTGATTAAAATGGAAATTGTCTATAAAGAAACTCCTTGGGACAAAGTTGAATGACGGAACTAGATTAAGCAAGCAGTTCATTACCCTTAAGTGAAAAATGAATAAAGTCATCATTCAGAGGCAGTAATGGGGTTGTGATGGTAAAGTGGTAATTAAAAAGACACAACCTAAATTTAGCTGAACAATGCTGGAGAACCTCCAGGGCACTGAAAATAGAACATAGTCTCCTCCAAATACAAACTCTCCTCAGACTACTCTAATGAGATTGGTGCCGCCCTTTTTATATAGACCCAATTACCTCAGCAGACCACAGAACAACTATTAGATTGTGCCCATGGCCACTGGTTTGATTTTGCTGTTTTTAGAGAAGGCATCTACTTCCACCGAGTCCTCATGGTCCAATACTTACTTTAGCTGCAGGTATATGTTTTCATGAGACCCATCCTGGAAAGGCATGCATTCACATAATCCTCCGTCCCCCTCCACACCTTATTGCTGCCTTCCCAGTTTCCAACTCCGTAAAAGATCAGTGCAATAAAACTCTTATCACTGTCATTTACCGAAGATGAGAAACCCACTGCTAATGACACAGAAGCTGTGGGCAGCATTAATCAGACTCCAGACCACCACTGCTGCTCTCCTTTTTCCTGTTTCTTTCCTTTTCAATAGAACTTACAGCCTTGGTTACAGTGAAGACTTTCTTAGGAAAAGCCAACAATATAAGGCTCCAAATCTCAACGGTCTGGGCCACTCACTCACCTGGGAATCTTGATGAGTCCTATAGTTTGGTGGAATGAGCGATCATCTTACAGATTAACGAGAAATATATGGGAGCTGGAGAGATGGCCCAGTGGTTAAGAGCACATACTGCTCTTTTAGAGGACCCGAGTTCAGGTCCCACCACCCAAGTTGAGCAGCTCACAAACAACTGTAGCCCCAACTCCAAGGGTTCTGACTCCTCTGGTCTCTCAGCCACAGTGTTCACATGTACATACCCAGTGGACATGCACATACATACACAAAATTTAAAATAATAAAATACATTTCAAAAAATGTAGAACAAAGTTTGTTCTTGCTCCTTGCCCATTAGATGGGGGAATAATATTTCCTGAATATACGCTGATGAACACAAGGAATGATCAGGCGTGCCCGCCTTAAAATAGACGACAGAGGCTAGGCTTATGGTCTAAGCTAATCTTAACTAAGCATAACAAGCCACCCAAACCTCCCAACGCTCATCCTAATTGCTGCTTACTGAGGCGGCCAATTGCCATCATTATAACTCTATTTCCTTCTAACATTCCCTGCCAAGCTCCTTGTAGGTATACTGAGAATTAACAAGAAATATTTTGATTTCCTTAAATGAGAGAGAGACTAGGAAGATTAATAGAACAAAGTATTATAATTCTTAATCATTGAGATCTCTCAAGCCTGGCATGTATAACTAAATCGTCATCAGCAAATAAACCGCAGGGCGAGGGTTCAGGGCATGCAGCAGACGGAACAGAGTCAAGCGGAAGGCTCACCTGAGGAATGAAGGCAGGGATACTCACCTGGAAAGTGCCCCCTAAGAAATCAGGCCGTAATTATAAACTAAGATTCACGGAGCACTCCTTCACATCTCAGTGAAGAGCTCATTCCTGAAGCCGTTCATTAAGTTACTGCCTTCATCTGCGGCTGTGGCTGCCATTGGGTCTGCAGAGCCCAAAATGAAACTAATTTTGGCGACATTTTTCTTCAGCCACTTACCTCTCCTAGGAAAGAATTCTCCTTGGAGAATCTAAAAGTTGAATTGCTTTCAAAGACAGAGAACAAGAAAAATCTCAGTTGAGTCTCTCTCACAAACTAACTAAAGAGGTGTTACTAACCACAAGCCATACTGCCGATCTGTAGCTGCCTGCTCAACCAGGAATGTGATGGAGAGACTATACGCATAGAAAAATCAGGACTCCTGTTAAAGCTCAGTGAGAGAAATAGCCACCCCCTTGTCCTAAACTAGCAGAGAAATCATGGGAGCACAAGCATGACTTTCCTCAGGACTCCTCTCACATTACCAGGAAATAGCGGGAAAAGGTGTCGCCCATCTTCACACATAAAATTGTTATGGGAAGTATCTTCATTTTCAGTAGTCTGTTGAGAGATTTAAACCTCCTCCGGCGTTCAGTAACAAACAATTTTTGATTAGCTTTCTTCATATGTTTTTTATTCATTTTATTCATCTTAACATTAAATCCCTGAAGAAGTGGGGCCTCCAGTTTGAGCCCTAGACAGAGAGAAGCTGGGTCTGGTTTGAGCTACCAACGAAAGCGAAAGAGAAATCTTGCCAGACAGATCATGGACCCATGGGTAGAGGTGTGAGGGACTCTGCTGCCCCCAAGCGGATCTGTTCCTCTGGGACACTCCAGGCAAAAAGTCAGTGTTTTAGAACTGGTTATAGTAATCGATATCTTCTTGAGTCTTTTGGGTTCCCGAACAAATACTGCCTTCACGCTCACACCCACACAAGGCTAGTTCTGCCTGGTAACTCTGGTCCTGCTGACCTCCTCCCGGCGCCCCTCACCTTCATGCCATACATAGTTCTTGAGTTCTGGTCACGGTGTTGTGTGATAAGCTATTGAGATGGTTTCCTGGCTGAACAGGAGCCCTTGCTCAGTCGTCAGGCACCTCTGGAACACCTAGAATGCAATGTGATAAGACTTCTAACAGACGGGGACAGCGCTCTCCACGTGCTGGGAGTGGGTGAGGTAAGAAGATCTATCCCAAAGAAGGTCAGTGAAGACGCACCCAGGAGGATGCTGCCATGTGGGGGAGAAGGAAGGAAGCACTGAAAACAGAAGACACAATGTGAGCCAGAGACCTCACAGGGAGCACTCAGGAGAGCATGTGGTAAAGAGAAGATTCGCTTGGGTGAGAGAAGTCAGTATGAGGCAGCGTACACAGGGTGTAGACAAAATCAGATGCGTCTTTCAAATGGTTGAGCTTTGGCCTCGTAGACAGGGGAGCTGCTGATGCCTTCTAGGACAGGTAAGATGTGGTCAGACTGGTGTTTTCAGAGGCTCATGCAGGCAGCGGGTTAGAGAAGGAATGTAGTGCAGAGCCTAGAGGAAGAGAGCAGAGGCTAAAATAGTGTTTGCTGGGTGACTGGGGCAGCCTAGCAGGGCAGTGAGCATTGACGGGTTCTGAGCACTGTTTCTGATAGATAGGAGATAGAATTGCAGATCTATGAGATGGAGAGATTGAGGGGAGCAAGGGGGTTATTACCATGCTTCCTGCTATGTGTACACTAGAGAGATGCTCACGGCACTGCTGAGCAAGAGAGAGGTTGAGAGATATGATGCTGAGCCTTTTGCTTTGGGTCACATTGCATTTATAGCTAGAGATGGACTAGAGGGAACTGGAAATGCAGCTCTAGGCCTCATGAGCCATATGCCCATTTTTGTATGAAAAAAATGAAGCTTAGAAATGTTGGGTACTTTCTCTATTATGGTCCCTAGTAGAGGGTGATGTTTTAGGCATACTTGTGCCTGGTCTTAGCCTAGTACCAGAGATGGAAAAAAAAAAAAAAGTCAGAGACAACAGAGAAGGGCAGAACCTGAAAGACACCAGTTATAAGGGAAGCAGAAGACCTCTGAGCCAAAAGCTGAGAACAAAACAAATTCTTCCAAAGGAGGAGGGGCCAAAGGGAGGATGAAGACTTGGTAAAGGGGAACAAGACAAAAAATTCATAAGAATTTAGGCTTAAGGACAAGAAGTCAAAGGAACTGCAGGATGAAGGAAAGTCTTCCAGGTGGGCTGGGTGGGTGATTTCACATGCTGGAGTAGTTTAAATTGTTTATGTGCAAAAGTAAAAGAGGTTCTCATGGGCAAAAGGAGGAGGCAGGATAGGTGAGGTCAGACTCGAGAGCAGAGACGTGGAATGACTTTTGTCAAGGACTGCTTACATCCGGTCCTCTAAGAGAAGAGAAAGAAAAACACAAAACAAAAAGCGTTCCTTTAAAATCAGCATTGGGGCTCATGGGAACAGTGTACCCTGAGTATGTGCCCAGGCAGAGGCCCCTCCAAACACACCCACACCCACTGACGTTGGAAAACCCAAGTCTTTTCTCCCCTATTCAGCACAGACCAAGGAGAGTGTTACTTGCTTTTATTTCCAGGGTTTTATTTTGTTCTCTTTCAATTTTGACTTAACAACTGAAAACATCAGACACAAAGGGACATAAAAGGAAAAGACGTTCTATTTCATCATTAGCTCAGCCTTCCAGGAAATAGGACCACTGACAGCCACAATAAGCCTTCAATAGCCTCCACCTCAACTCCTCACCTCCTGCTTCCGCTGGACCAATGAGGGGCCGTTGACATTCCCCGCAACAACAGAGTTCAACCCTGTGCGACTGACACCCCAGACCGTGAAAAATAAATTGCTATCTATTCTTCACTCCACCTCACAGTCCTCTTCCCAAGAAGGGGCCTAAAAAAAAAATTTTTTTTTAAAGCAAGCTTAGTATTTGGTTTTCTGCACTCTGGTGTTATGATATAGAGTGATGGATAGAAATTATTTCTCTAATATTCTTCCTTGTCTCTGGGTTTCTGTATAAGAGAAGCTTTGGTTTGAGAATTATCAAGGTGAAGAAAACTGAAAGTATCTTTCTGCCTAAACCATCTGCCTTCACGGGCGCTTGATAATGCCACATACACTCTCTACCTTAGACTCCTCTCAGATGTCCCTACCTGACACAGCTCTACAAACGGCAAGTGTGACATGCACCAGCTGCCTTTCCTTTGAAACGGTGAACCTATTTTAACACCAAACACATAATTCAGTACCCAGTTGTCCTGGCTAGCTTTGGCTGTCAACTTGGCCACCTACAATTATCGAATAAGAGAATCTCATTGACTCTCCCTCGGGCGCATCCTTTGGGGATCACCTTGACTGTTAACTGTTGTCGGAGTGCCCAGCCTGGTGTGGGCAGTACCATTCCTAAGCAATTGGCTCTGGTCTGTGTAAGAAAACTGAACATAGGGCTGCTGGACAGCCAGCAAGCATCCTCCTCCGTGCTTCCCACCACACCTCTTTGCCTGTGACGTGAATTCCTTGGTTGGAAATACTGTTCTTTGGAATAATACCAAGCATGCCTGTCTTCAAGTTCTTGCCTTGGTTCCTCCCCTCAACAGCGGACAATAACCCGACACTGTAAGCCCTGAGTGGAATTTAGTCGGGGTATTTGTCTCAGGAACAGCGCCAGCACTCCCAACAGATACAATCACGGGACTGTGTGGCTGCGGAATCTCTGGGCATCCAGCATCCTGCATCAGGAGTCGGTGGTGGTCACACTCCCAGCTTGCTCTGTGGCCTGCTTTCCACAGCTCCCTTTGGCCTCTTTGGCTCTCCCATTCCCCTTCTATTTCAAATCCTTTATCTCTCCTTTTGCAGATCAGCGTTCTTTAGAAGGAACCAGAACATTTTAGATGAAAAGTGCAGCCTCTGTGAGACAAAGGAAATCTCCCAAATGCATCTTTTCCCATAGTCTTTCTAGGTCGTGGACTGAGACAAGATTGTCTGATAACGACATGGGAGATGTCGCCCTCTAATGGAGAAGACGTTTTCAGGCACTTAACTGCTCAACTGTGTCATCCTCGGGGTCAGTCAGCTGTTTGCTCTGACAGCATTTCATAGATCACACTCTCTAATTTTTTTTTGAAACCAAATTCTAATTCTATATTTTTCCTTGAAAACAAGTTCCTCACTTTGATTTCTCTGTTTCTTCAAGGAATTCTTTTTATAAATTATATTCCTTGCTATTAAGTTGACATTCAGAAAATATAGACCAATGAAAACAATAAAAACTTCCATAACTCAAAGTAATCTTAACCTTTTGTTTTTTTAATGTTCTGCTGTGGATCAAATCCAGGACTTCATGAATGCTAGACAAGCCTTCTACCACTGAGCTACATCCCCAGGAACATTGAAATATTATAAGACTTCTCTGCAGCCACATGCATGAGTATACAACATTAGGTTGCCTTTATTTCCACTTCACTTTATTAAAACTAATTTTTCGTGCAATATGTTCTGATTATGGTTCCCCCTTCCTCAACTTCTCCACTACCCTCCACTCCTCCACTCCCATCTAAATCCACACTCTTTCTGTCTCTCGTTAGAAAGCAGGCATCAGGAGAATAACAATAATAAAAAACAAAGACAGACAAACCAGGACAGGACAAAACAGACAAACAATAGAAATACTGCCAAATAGAAAATGAGCCAAAGAAAACACACATAGAGACTCACAGACACACATGTTCACACACACAGGAATCCCACAAAAATATAAAACCAGAAGCCATGACATATACACAAAGGACCTGCAAAGTGAGGAGGAAGAGGAGGAGGAGGAGGAGGAGGAGGAGGAGGAGGAGGAGGAGGAGCCCCGACAAAGCATAGGAGATAAAGGACCTCCAAAGACGACACTGAGTTCATTTTGTGCTGCCCACCTACTGCTGGACAGGGTCTGCCCTTAAGAGCTGTTTATACACCCAGGAAGACTCCGCTGGAGAAAACTGTTTCCTTTGCAAGCAGTCACCAACTGAAAATAGCTTCTGGGTTAGGGATGGGGGCTTGTGTTCACTTCTCCTCTCAGCCCTGGGACCCCATCTGGCTTATACCCATGCAGGACCTATGCATGCTGCCTCAATCTCTGTGAGTTCATAGGTATATCCATTCTGCTGTGTTTAGAAGGCCTTGTTTCCGTGGTGTCCTCCGTCCCCTCTGGCTCTTACAATGTCTTTCCACCTCCTTTTCCACCAGTTTCCCTGAGGGGAGGAACTTGATGGAGATGTGCCATTTAAGACTGAGTGTTTCAAGGTCTCTCACTCTCTGTACTTTGTACAGCTGTGGGTCTCTGTATTTGTTCCCGTCTACTGCAGGAGGAAGCTTCTCTGATGATGGCTGAGCAAGGCATTGACCTATGAGTGTAGCAGAATGTTGTTAGGAGTCATTTTATTGCTGCATTTCTTTTGCAGAACTTGGTAGCAATGTCTGGTTTTCCCCTAGGTCCCTGGTCTGTCTAGTCTGAGGTTCTTGGCCACCCAAGTAGTGTCTGGGATGGGTTCCATCTCGTGGAGTGTCGAGTGGGCCTTAAATCCAACCAGATATTTGTTGGTTACTCCCACAAGTTTTGTGCCACTACTGAACTAGCACCTCTTGAAGGCAGGCCATCACTGTAG